CCGGAAGTCTTTCATACCTGCAAATTTACTCATAAGTCAGATGTGTATTCCTTTGGCATCATTATGCATTTGATTGCTTCTGGTGAATCACCTTTCAGAGATAGAGAATTCGATAGAAATCTAATATGCAACATCATGGACGGACTACGACCATCGATGCCTGATTCCGCACCAGAAAAGTACAAGAAACTTGCTGAACGGTGTTGTGATGCTGATCCTGATAAGCGTCCTGATGCAAAGACACTTAAATTTGATATTAAAAAACTGATTAAAGAGGCGAATAACGACAATTCTGATGACAACACGTGGAATACTATTTACCATAACCATGTAAAACCATTATCACGTTTCGAGAAGGAGAGTAAGTATTCCAGTACGCTCTTGCCTGCTGGGGGTCTGCTCAAACCAAGAAATTATTCTCATCAGTTACCTCCCTTATCAGATTTCAGCTTACCGAGTTTTGGGGAAAGTTGACGAGGAGTAAGGAGATAATTTGGATTTAGTGCGGTTACGAAGACAGCAATTAGTTCTGTTCATATATATGACATTAATATTGTCCGTTGCTTATGATTTAGCGACTCAAACATTTTTGAATAAACATGTAATTCACAGTTGTACACTTTATTCAAGGATTTACTTCCCGTTCCGATATATATGCCAATATGGGTTGAGTTAAAAAGATACCTAATTAACGTCGTGCACGTCTACTGTTAATTGCCCTAGTCGGTAGATCAGGTGAATTCGAGCTCCGACAAATAAGGCAAGATTTCCAGCTCAAATCTTATTCCATTAGATATTGCATGTTTTGATAGATGCGTGGTCACTTCACGACAAGAATGCCTAGCAATAGTCCATCGCGAGAAAACGGGCGGTAAAAGTTAACCAATGTTGAACCAGCTAGATAAAAGCCTGGAGATGCGATGAAAAGATGATCCCATACCTGCTCGATCTTGTAGGAATAAAACTCCACAGGTGTTATTAATAGTCAACACACCGAAGATTTATAACTACTTTCCATGATATGGCATCGTTACGAAGCCGTAAACGTATGCTGCAAGTTTAAGGGCATTCCCACAGCGGGAATAAAATTGCCTTATACAAGTGTGTCAACACAGATGCCAACATCATATCGACTGTGCAGAATAGTTTTCATTCCTAGCCTCTGGCCGAGAGTCTGGGCAAATCTAGCCAGGTGAAATAATAAACATTCATCGTTCTTTAGGTCAAGATCTTTTTCAATAATGTGTTTGATATCACGGATCAAAGAAGTATCCTTTCGAGAACCGATCTGCAATCTTTTCCAAGTCTGCTCTTTCGCCCGAATAAAGTCGGATACACCTCATATTAAGTAACAGCTGCAGGAATGTAGATGAAGGCAAAGAATTGCGAGCGTGAACAAGTCCCGTCATTATTATATTTGACACGTGGAACCACACTCCCACTTTCGCACACTTGAATTCACTTCTCCAACGCATAGACTTTAAAACCGAGTTTTTGAACAGGGTGTTCTGTCTTTATAAAGCAATTTTCGATCTATAAAAATAAAAATGAATTAGCAAAAGACAAATTCATAAAACAAAAGAAATACAGCAATTGTGACATGAATGGTTACCCCAATATCATAGTCCATGCGAATATCCCGACATCTGAACCAATTTATTCAGTCTCCAAACTTATCTTCTGTAGCTGCGTTTGGATTCGCTCGTCTTTTCCGACATCGTTAGTATACAACATTGCCGAATTATAATGTCATCCGTTGATCATAGGCTTAGGTGCGGTGTCAATAGTGATCAAACGGGCGTTGCCAAATCCCAGCCCAAGAGGTTCGCGTCCACTCGAACAAGACATACTGAGTCAGGAGACGAGCGTATTTTCAATAGCAAACAATTCTCTAAAGATTAATTCATAATATTACTTTTGTCGTTGGATAAAGAAACCGAAGCAATCATGATCACTCACATTCCGTCGTAAAGTAACTAGCCGTTCTGATAATATCCCTGGTTTCATCCTGTGTAGTTAGAGCCTATTACCATCTGCATTCCACTTGTAAATGCATGACAAACCAGGTTTTGAATTCTCAAGAATGCGTTTAAACCATTCTCGCTTACGGATTGCCGAGAGAGCCCCCTCTTGTAATGACACTCTTGAAGCAGTATTACCAGACAGAAGATGATAAGTAGAGAATGACGCGCTTGCGCTTGAGTAATTGGTGGGATTAATTGCGTAAATTACGCTTCTTGTTATTAGTGTTATTTGTGTATAGTGTTGCAATCTACTTGTAACGGAAAGGCGTGAAAACTGTGTGTTTAGTTGGACCTTTGCAACAGTGACAAGCCCGAAAGTTTGTATAAAAATGAAGTTGCACGTGGGAATCGACGTAGCACAAACGCGGAAATATCAATTTTTTGAATACCGATACCGGGGAAGTCACATATGAAAGTCCGTATATGAGGGTTTTTTCGCCGATCATCGCCGATCATTGCCCGATAATATTGCAATAGTGAAAGATGTATAAACTTCAAAACCTTAATATTAAGGCTTTTCAAGGACGTGGGTTATGGCCTTAAACCTTAGACGGTAGATACTTTTATGCTTGCTTTACCAGAAAATAAAGCGTTTTCTTTATTTTCATTATTGAGACTCTTCCAAATAACTAAAAGACACAAAACAAAGGAAAACACAATTAAATAAACAATAATTTATGTTCGGCAGGCCTTCCTCTTCACATGACTGCATTCCGGTAAATTTTTTCATAATATTCAATTGCGCTTTTGCCTGCTGTCTTGAGTTGAATTTTTTGTGAATAAAGAGACTATTACTATTTTAGTATCAGGGACGATTAATTAATTGAGTTTCAGGAAGGAATCATAACGGGAATTCGTTTACGACACGGAGATGGAAAACATCCCAGTTCTAAATGTGGCAATTTCTTCAATAAGCAGGTGTTATAAAAAAAATCCAGATTTGGATGTAGCAGACAGAGGATACTGTTGGCTATGTCATAATCTATTTGCAATCACGAGTCCGTAGTTTGAGAAACAGTGCGAGACGCGCCATCGCACAATATAATTTTAACCTCAGTTTCTCACCCCCGGGCTTTTCGCGGATGAATCCCAACTGTAAGTTTGCCTGCTTTTACGTTTTCCCAGTTATCGGTGTGGTACGTGTCTCCTTTCTATTTTCAATACAATCAATTATACCGTTACGACTGCCACTTGTAACCATATCCACGTATCTTTTTTATGCTTAACCAACTCTATATCAGCGCTTTAACAGATTGCATTTCACATAGTCATTGCTTGCAATGGTTAAAGAAACTGTCATACACCTGCGTAAGGATACTCTTAATTGCAGCAATAATAATACGCAGAAACGATACTACGGTGTGCCAATTGGAATTTTTTTTATTAATTATTACTATAATAAAAGTCTATGCCAGTGACAGAAATAGTGTTTATGAGCTGGCAACAATATTAATATATGTATATATGCAATGTGTCTTGATTCCAACATTAATGTTATATCTATCGCAACTGCTTATTGCACGAACCCGTTTCTCAGGCTTATTATGTTATTTGTCTATCCAAACCACACGGATCCTCATTTTCCATCTATTTCCATAGCAACCTGACCATGCCTCTGCCCTCCCTGTCCTTGCTTATCCGGCTCCTGACCGCCCCTCGCAGCTTTCTGTCTAGCCTCTATATCTTCTAGTGTTAATAGCGATATTCCCAATTGATTATGTTCAAACGGCTGAGCCATGGAGCGTAAGAATTTTTTCGCAATCACTATGGCCATATCCGTGGAAAGATTTGTGGCTGTTTCAGAAATATATTGATTAATCCATTTTGGGAGCTTTGCTCTTTTATCTGTTCGACCGAAGCGCTAGCAAAA